AAATAGTCAGACATTTCTTCCTGTCAAAATTTCAAAGTAAAAAAAGTGGACGTTGAACTTAATCTCTCTTCCGAAGTCTTGTATCGATATAAAACTTATATTTTCTTTTTTAAATTTAAATTTGAAGCGACTCGGGTTATTTTGTGTTAGGCTAGTCCCGTTTTTTAAAGCAATGAGTCAGTTGATCACAGAGGTTGAGAGCTGAAGAGAGCTGCTGTTCGGACACATCTTATTATTTTTAGTCGATCCACAAGAGATAAACATGAAAATACGATTCTGTGACCAGCGCTACAGACTCATTACCACACATATAAAAGCTAGTTAAAGATTCTTTCTTTTGTGATTATCCTCGAGTGGTGGTCCACCACTGGTGGATTTTTTTTGTTATCATAGTAACTCCTTAGATACGTCTTATATTCCTGCCAATGTCAGAAGAGCCACCAATATCAATTTGCACTAATATGAGTTCTCTCAGTCCGGGTGTGAAATTTTCAATTTAATTTTATTCTCGTCATGTCTGGTGTTAAATTAGTTGTTCAATGGACCACTAGACAAGGTACGAATTTAAGCATTCTGATACATGTTTCTTAACCAGAATTTCACGTAGAACACGATACGCACAACGAAAATTACCGAAATTAACTCCTTACGAAGATATTTAATGATTCTTGATGCGTGAATTGAAACCACCCGCTCATGAAAACTCAATGCTCTACGTCATTCACATCGCGCGCTAAACGGTATCATAAACGTCTCAGCGATATAAAAATCTGGCAACCTCAGTCTTGACGCTTTGGCTCAGCTATAGCAAATTACTTATAGTTTGAACAACACATGGTGGGAAAGGAACATTGCTCGATTGAGACGCTTGCTGAAACCATTGTAGTGGGCGATTTGACTCACGTAGAGCTTTGAGTTTCTTGTGAGCGGCCAGTTCAAATTCCTCGTAACTAATGTGAAATAAAAACGTTAATATCTTCGCTAAGAGTTGGTTTCAGTAACTTTTGTTGCGCGAATCGTGTTCTACGTGAAATTTTGGTTCGGAAACATGTGTTAGAATGCTAAAATTCGTACCCTGTCTAGTGGTCCATTGCGAAATGCACAGAGCGGCCAACAGGGGGGTCATTCACAAAAGATTACCGACATCAGGGGGACGTTTCAACCTTGTGTTACTCAACGGAGCTTCGTATCATATGGTGCGAGCTCTCATTTTAACGTGAATATAATTGGTTTTCAACAAGGTTCTTAGCTTTTCCTGGAAAAACTTAATATTCTTCGTGAAAAATGATAATAACTGCCAAAACACGCGATTTCTCGTAAAGTTGCCGGAATTTTCAGCTCTTTTCTTTTCCCTGCGACTAAAGAACGGATCAGTGCATGCAGAGTGTTGTATACAAACACTCCTTTTAAAGCAAATGTAATGCACTTTCTGAACGGTCCTTCGCTTTTTTGACAAAAAGTTAATGCTTTTCCTGAAACATGCAAAAATATCTGAACCAAAAACAAACAAACAAAAAAAAATGCACACACTGCAAAAAATGGTATGCTGTTTTAGCACCTAGGATGTCAAAAATGTGTCTGGCGATTCTAAGATGCTGCCTTGATTGCCCACGCAGATGAATTTGTATTCACATGCTGTAAAATTAACTGCGGGAGCAGTGAAGCAGGCAGCGTCTTTGGATCACCCGGCACATTTTGACATCCCATGTGCATGCTAACATATTATTTTTTTCAGTTCATTTTTTAGTGCATTCTAGCGTTTTTGGGTCATCTCTCCCCCTTACGACCATTGAGCCGAGTGAAATTTTCAGTATGTTGTTTAGGTAGTATAACTAGGCAAATGAATATACATTGATATAGCTATAGCAAAGTAAATTCGGGCAAAAAAAGCTTCTGTTGCAATTTATTCCGGGTCGACCCCCCTCTCTGGCTATTTTGAAGTGACTATTTGTTACCATTCACACGAGTTTATGTTTGTTACAGAAAGGAGATGTGCGGCAAACTGTGAGATCGGAACAAAATGAGAAAAGGGAAGCGAAGAGGGCGAAAGAGCCGAAGGAGCAAAGAGCGAAGGAAACGCGCCCCCGGCGACAGGAAAAGCCGACCAAGAGGAAGAAGCCGCAGCCCGGAGTCTTCGCATCCTTTGGAAGTCTAGTCAAAGATGTAAGTCTCCAACTGTACATCATATTTTATACATCAAACAGCGGGCCGATTATTGAAATCCATAGACAAAGCAATAGACAAAGAAGACGAAAAGGATATGGAGGGATCCTATTGGTGGAACCGGGTGGTTCTTATAGACCAGAAGGGAATATGATAGACTAAATATAGGGTCTCTCGCGGGTTGCCGTTCGTTTGTCTATTACTTATTTCTTTGTTTATTACAACCACCTGCTTCCATTAATAGGATCGCTTTATTTTTGGTTTTTCTTTTTTGTCTATAGCTTTGTCTATCAATTTCAATAATTCGCCCGTAGGGGAGATTGTGTCGATATCGATTAGTTCAACTTGTAAACATATCCACAGAAGTCAGTTCAGAAATCTGAGGGAACTGGTTTTTTTCGATCGATTTTTTTTTATTCTTTTGGGTGCCAAATGGCAATGAAAAGTGAAACTGTTCAGAATTTTCTCATTTTCAGCTTTTTCACGCTGAAAAAAAAGTTTCAGGCTTTCTAGACTTATTGTCCGCTTCCAGCTCAGAGGCCGAGATTCACGATTGCTGGAGCCGAGGCTTCGATTGCTCCGAGTGCTGCGCCCGGAACTTCCGGCCTCTGAGCCTGGAACGCAGACGGTATGTCTATAAAGCCCGTAAGTACGGCTTCCACGGCCGGAGTTTTTTTTAGAGCGACTTAAATCCTATTTTTTTGTTGTTGATGATATGTTCTTTTGTTTTGAACCAAACGATACATCGAACCACTATCGAATATGATCCGTAGGCTTCCCGTTTTCAGGGGAGCTCACAAATAGCATCATTCACTTACTTGAATCATTGGAACTAAACCCTAATAAATATATTTTTTGGCTACGGCAATCCATGCAAATAGTGTTTTTTTTTTTTTTTTTTTTTTTTTTTTTTTTTTTTTTTTTTTTTTTTTTTTTTTTTT